ACTGTTTTCTTTTCTGTTTTTGTTTGTTTGTTTGTTTTTTGAGACAGGGTTTCCCTGTATTGCTTTGGAGGTTGTCCTGGAGCTCACTCTGTAGACCAGGCCTACCTCTGCCTCCTGAGTGCTGGGAATAAAGGTGTGCGCTGCCAACGCCCAGCCCTGTTTTCTTAATATTAAAACATGAAATGTCTGGAAAATGATTTGTCTTTAAATTTTTATGGGTATAGAACATGGTTTAGTTAGGGTTTCTATTGCTGTAAAGAGACAGAATGACTATGGCAGATTATATAAAGGAAAACATTTCATTCGACTGGCTTACAGTTTTGAGAGGTTTAGTTCGTTATCATCATGGTGGTAAATGACTGTGTATAGTAGACATAGTGTTAGAGAAGGAGCTGAGAATCCTACATCTTGATCCTTACATAGGCCACAGGAAGTGGAGTGACACTGGGCATAGCTTGACAGTGATACACTTCCTCCAACAAGGCCATACCTACTTCCTCAAAGCCACAGCTCCAAAGAGCTTATGGGGGCCATTTACATTCTACCACAAAAGTAGAAAAGTAACTCCCCCACTCCAAAGGGTCTTACTAGGTTGTTCTTGGTGTCTTGGAACTCACTATGTAGTATTGTGTGGGAATTATGATTCACTAGAATCAGTACAGGTTAAATGAAGTTTATTTCAGGAGAATGTACTTACACAAGAGGCTAGTGACCGCCGCAGGTTCCAGCTGCAAGGATCCACCCAGGCTGTTCTCTGTGACACCACCAGAAGCAAGAGTACTCTGGGGTCTGGGACCCCAGATCTAGTCCTCTCCTCCGTCATGTCCTCACCTGTGACCACGCCCATTTGGGCATGGTCAGTATTACAGGTGTGGGTGGGGTGAATATCTCACTACAATGTAGACCAGGATGGACTCAAAAGTCACAGAGATCTGCTTGCCTCTTCGAGAGTGCTGGGATTAAACACTTTTTTGGATTTTTTAGACAGGGTTTCTTTGTTTAACAGCTCTGGCTGTCCTGGAACTCACTCTGTAGACCAGGCTGGTCTTGAACTCACAGAGATACACCTGCCTCTGCCTCCCGAGTGCTGGGATTAAAGGCATGTGCCACCATGCCCAGCTGAACAACTGTTTTTCTAATGGTTCAGACTCTAATTAAACTGTGTTGTATATTCAACAATAGAATGTCTTTGTGTAATCATTGCATTACAAAGTGTTAGACTAACAATCTGTATTCTACTTTGCCTCTTACTAGCTAGAAAATCTTAGGTTCTATATGAACTATTTTATGTTATGAAATATTAAAATAGCAGTGTTTAAGCTGGATACCACATGAGATCAGATAATAATCAGATAACCTGGCACATGATGGTAATGTCATTCATTACTTCATAGTTACAGACAGTAAGCTGTGAACAAAGACAGTGCACAGACAAGGTTTCACTCTATAGCACTGGCAGGCCCCCTGTAAAGACTAGGCTTGCTTAGAACTCAGAGGTCTTCCTGCCTCACTTCCAGCTGCTGAGATTCAAGTGTTTAACATTATGCCCATCCTATTGTTTTTTTTTTTTTTCAGGGGGGGGTGTTTTGTTGGCTTTTTGGGTTTTATTTTTTCTTTTAAGTTCTGGATGTTGATTTTAGATGTTGAAAAATGTGAAAAGAGTAGACTAGATACTTATTCTTCAAGATTCAAATTTGCTATATAAAGAGGTGTTTTTCACAAATAAATTTACATAAAATAGCATATATATCCATTCTGACAGTCATAATGTAGCAGTCATTTTACTTTGATTTTATTCATACAGGTAAATCTGAGACCTTTCCGTAAAGGTCGGAGGAAATCACTTGCTCTTGTAGCACATACTGGCTATCTGCCTCATCAGCAGGATCCTCACCATGTCCACAGGAACACACCATTGCATGCCAATGCACTTTGTCACTTTCATATTGCAGCCAGCATCAACCCAGCCACAGGTAATTATTTCTGTAGTGAAATGTATATTACTAGACAGACTAGGAGAACCACACAATCTAGACCTACATATGAATTTGGAGATTTAAGTACTTACCACTTTTTATTTTCTGTGAATATAAAAATCAGGGGCCACAGCTGAGGAACTTAAAGTAGTATCTAAAATTATTTCTTAAAAAAAAAATAAAGGCAATGCGCAAACATAATTAATACCACCTCTATAGAAGGTGGAAAGTAAATCACTTATTTGACCTGTATACTTTAGTCCTTTTCCCAAAACAAAACTACAGTTGGTTATTTTTTTATATCTTACAGAATATAGACCCTCCTCCCCTTCGCCTTTTTTTTTTTTCTTTCCTCTCTTCCTTCTTTTTAGAGTCTTATTATATAACCAAGGGTGGCTTTGATAGTATAGAATATTCTTAAGTATCAGTTAAATATAACCAATTTCCATGGAGCTGGAAATTGCAGTATTATACTTTTCAGGGAAATATAGCAGTTCAATTATCAGTTAATTACTCAATGAGAATTCTCTCCACCAGAATGAGCTCTTCCAGATCAAAGCATACTTTTGGTAGGAATTAATAATTACTTTTGATCTTAACATTTATTTGGTTTACTAATTCTAGTTGTGAAAGTATCCACTAGCCAAGAAAACACCAATGTCAGTATATTTGTCTTCATTAAAATGTAACTTGTGTTTGATAATTATCACCTTTATCAAATACATTTATTAACAGTGCTTATAATACAGTTACCTATAAGGTCAGTGACATAATTTTGAAGGCCCCTGTTGAGTAAAGGTCAGTATTAGATACATCAGTGGTATGTATGAGGCCTTTGGTTTGATTTGCAGTACCTCAGAAAAATTAAATAAATTTAAAAATCAACAATATTACACAAATAAAGCTTGAATTCCCCCATTGATTAAAAAAAAGCCTAAGAGATTATTGTGAAAAGAATCCTAAGTTTGAGTATGGCATCTCTTTCGCATGCATTCAATAAAAACAATTAAAACTTTCTTTAGATTGTAGATCACCAAGGAAAACTGTGATGGTTTGAATAAGAATGGCCCCACAGGGTCATATTTGAATGTTTAGTCACCAGGGAATGACATTATTTGAAAAGATTGGAAGGATCATGTGTGTCACTGTTGAGGAAGTGTGTCACTGGCAGTGGACTTTTAGGTTTGAAAAGCCTTTGGCAGCCTAGACTCTCTGCCTACAGAACACGATGTTACAGCTCTCAGTTTCTTTTCTAGCACCAGTCTGCCTGCCTGCATGCCACTATGCTCCCTGTCATGATGATAATGCACTAAACTCTCAGATTGTAAACAAGTCCCCAGTTAAATGCTTTCTCTTATAAAAGTTGCCTTGATTATGTTGTCTATTCATAGCAACAGAACAGTGACTAAGGCATTACATAGAGCATTCAAAGCATAATATTCTTGCAGTTAGTTGGGACTATATGGAGAATTCTGTTGGATTAATCTTTCTAGGTGCCTTATTTCTGAAAGCACAGCTTTAGGTTGAGTTTCTCTCTCTCTCTCTCTCTCTCTCTCTTCCTCCTCTTCTCTTCCT